TGACAACGCGTACAATTCCCATGATTCGAGATCGTCGTTTGTTTTACGAGTGAACGGTACGTATACAAAAGCAGCAGCAGCAGCAGCAGTAGGATGAGTCACTCGATGTCACTCTGATGCGTGCTTTGGTGGCGGCGTGCTGCAGCTCGAGGAAAATCGCGCGCGCGAGCGCTCAACGCGAAAACATACAGGAGAATAGATTTCAATGCTGAAATAACATTCCCAGTGACTGCGCCGCGCAGCGGTACACACCTATACGCATACGCAGCAGCAGCAGCAGAGGCACAGATACTAGCTGGGAACGCGCACTATGAATTTCAATGAGGACGCAGCAGCAGTAGTAGTTGTGTGTGTGTCCTCTCTGCCGCTCTATGTTTATACTCTATGTATATAGAATCTAACGCTCTCTTTCCCGCAGGCGCGCGATTGTGCCGCAGCTATCCGGTGCGCGCGCGCGCGTGTGTGTATATACGCCCGTTTGATGGATTTTCGTGCTGCTGCTGGATTTTTGTTCATCCGCGCACAAGGCCGCCGCGTGTTTCGTTTCGTAGTCGTAGTCGTCGTCGTTGACTCGCAATTTATTATGTTCGCCGCGGGGCGACGTGTAATCACATTAACTCCCGCGAAGCAATTAAGAAGAGTAAAAAGTTAGCTCGCGCGCGCGCGCACGAACTTCTAGTTTATTGTAATTTTCCGTACTTGCGCACACAGGGCACACGGTGAGCTTCGCGCATATTTGTCCAAGTTTCCGGTGCAGTGTACTGTACATACACACACACAACAGCACGTTTACCAATTACACGAGGCGGCACTTGGTGCCATTGCTCGAACTCGTTTTTGGGTGGGCGGATAAAACGAACTGCTGCCGCGCGCGCGCGCGCGTGGCCCACATTATCGTAAACACCGATGCAAACACACGGCACACAGCCCTGCCCGCTGCTGCTGCTGCTGCTGTGCTCTTTCTCTCCTCTCTCCTCTTCGTACTGCTCTGCCTCGCCTCGAAACAAGGCCGCAAAAGTACGCGACCAGCACGCCGAAGTGGAAAATTTCTACTGCCCGCAAAACCTGTATCTACTATCGTAAAAACCGGTACGATCGCGTATAATAATATAAGCCTGCGCGCGGCGATCGAATTCCACACAGCGAATGCATAAATAGGATTATCCATTAAAACTTCATGAAAGATGCAGCAACGGCAAATGAAAAGCTTCAGTGTTTATCGTGACGAGCTCTTGAAAATATTAACACTTATATATCTTCATTTAGTACGCCTAATAAATGGGAAAAATTGTCCTAACGAACATTATCATTTCTAGACTCGACTCGTGACATTTTTTCTTTTTTTTTCGAAATGCTTTTACTACAAAGAAGCAAAAAAGAAAAAGTTGTCAGTTGAATCGGATTGAAGGAAAGTGACGTATATATATAGAACTCTTTCTTTTTTATCATAGAGAGAGAGAGAGAGAGAGAGAGAGAGAGAGAGAGAGAGAGAGAGAGAGAGAAGGAAAAAAAGAGACACATATATATAGACATGCGCACGCACCATATATCGGTCAGCCGTGAAAGAGCTCTATTCCCTAGAGTACTCGGTATTTTACTCAGGCGTTTTAAAAGCTCGTTTATTTTTTCTACTTTTCTTCTTCCGGACAAAGTGGCTTTTTAATTAGCAGACACTAACGCACATGTATACGCAGAGATAGATATATATATTTCAAGTGTATATATAAAATGCGACAATGTTGTATAGTGCTTTATTTAAAGAATTAATTTTTAATTTCTCATCCTCGCTTCCCGGATCGCTGTACGCGCGAGCGGCAGTAGTATTTATATACAGCCGGAGCAACACCCGGCCGCCACCGCCGCCGTCGCGTGCCTGCGCGCCGCAACATTATAATATTTTCATTGGCCCTTATAACCGCTCTCTGCCTTTTGTCACGCTTGGAATACAAAAAATATATATAACGCGACGTTGTTTAAATGCGCTCGAGCCGCCGAGCGGCGAATTAAAATTTCAACGTTTTTAGGTAATAAGATTTTAATTCCATAAAGTGTTAATTGCGTCCGAGGCGCGCGGGCGCTTATACAAAATACAAAACGTATCTAGATATATAATAATATATGCAGCAAAATTTCAAATGTCCCATGTTCGCAGCAGCGTTTAAATAATTCGCCGCAGGGTGTCAAATAGGGTGTCCGTTATTTCCCGACTTTTTTGTATTGCTTCTCCCCCCCCCTAGATGTCTTCTATTTGATAAGACAATGAGAAAGCCGGGTAATAGAGTTCGAAAAAATGATTTTAAGGTGGCCCCCAAGCGGCTTGAAGCTTACATGTATTTTAAATGGGAAAAACTTAAAAATTTGATTCTCAGCGATAAAAATGATGAAAAAATTTGAAAAAATTCAGCAACCCATGTATTTTATGTATTTTTTGACGAGGAATCGATTGGTGACCTTGAATTTGACCTTGAACATAACCTCAAAGCTACAGCGAACAAAATATTGAGAAAAATCGTTTTTTTTGCGGTAACCCCCACTTTTTATTGCAGATTCGAAAAGAGCGGAAAATTTCAAGTCAAATTATGTCTTTTGATTTTTTTTCAAGGGCATTATAAAGATGCTACAGATACAAATAAAACCCTAATTTTAGCGTGCAATTTTCGAGTTTTTACTAGTTAGGGCTTTATCTATATCTGCAGCGCCTTTTGAATACCCTTGAAAAAAAATCGAAAGACATAATCAGACATGAAATTTTCCGCTCTTTTCGAATCTGCAATAAAAAATGGGGGTCACTGTGAAAAAAACGATTTTTGGTTCGCTGTAGCTTTGAGGTTATGTTCAAGGTCAAATTCAAGGTCACCAATCGATTCCTCGTCAAAAAATACATAAAATACATGGGTTGCTGAATTTTTTCAAATTTTTTCATCATTTTTATCGCTGAGAATCAAATTTTTAAGTTTTTCCCATTTAAAATACATGTAAGCTTCAAGCCGCTTGGGGGCCACCTTAAAATCATTTTTTCGACCTCTATAACCCGGCTTTCTCATTGTCTTATCAAATAGAAGACATCTAGGTGGGGGGAGAAGCAATACAAAAAAGTCGGGAAATAACGGACACCCTAGTGTCAAAGGATACAAAATCTGCCATGCAAACTTGATTACTCGTGTCAAAGATGATTTCGTTATAAAACGGAGATCGCGCCCGAGCGCATAGAGCTGTCAATAATAAGTCGTGCGCGTGCGATCGAAGTCACACCACCACCACCACAGCCGCACCAGCGCGTAAATATAATGAATAATTAGCAAGGGAGCGAGTACACTGTACAGAGGTTGAATCGAAAATGAGCAATCGTGTGTCAATCCGGCCACGCGCTCCGCAACGCGCGCGCACGAGGTGTGGCTGTCAAAAATTCATCGGCTGATCCACGCATGTACATGCGCAAGCGAGCGTTATATCGAGCTAATCATTGATAGACGACAGAGAAAGAAAGTTATATGTATAGGGAGAGAGATGGAAAGAGCGAGGGAGGCGAGGGTTATATATGCAAGGGAAATACGCGCAGGTTGTCGAACTCGAGCCATTCATTAGTAATCAATGCACGCGTGTGTGAATGTTCATGGGAAACGTCGAGCGCGGAGGGGGATCCTTTGCTGCGCTGCGCTGACCCACGTAATCAATCAATGCTCACTCGCACCAGCGACGCAGATAATGAACTCTGGCTGCTGCTGTTCTCTGCTGCAGCTCCGAGTCGCGTGTAGAGCAGGGCTTAGCTCAGCTGTATATAGGTAGTACACATACATACGAATACATAGTGTATGTGCTGCGTATGCGCCAATAAGCCTGACTCTACGCTGGTCTGTACCACTAGTTTGCTTGCCGAGCTCTCGCATTTGCAGCACTGTTGCTGCTGCTACTACCACCCACGCACCATACGCACGCAGATCGTTAATGTATTCGGAGCCTTTTTCAAACTTTCGCCAAACCTAGCGCTCATAATGCAATTTTCTCGCTCGCGCATACGAACTCATTTGCATCATTCCCCCGTGTACGTGTACGTTTGCTCCGAACAAGGGCAAGAAGTATAGTTACACTGTGGAAAAAACCTTGAATCAGATGCGGATTTAGCGTGAAATCAGGCATTAAAATTTGAGTAACCGATACTGAATTTTATTCAAGGTACTTTTACATGAAATCTTTGTAAAAAATTATTTTATCGGTGATGATTTGTTTATAACTTAAAAATACATGATAATGCGATATAATAAATGAGTTTTAAAGCAAAAACGAATAAAAATGTCTCAATTTAACTGAACTTAAATTTTAAAATTATGATTGAAATTGATAGAAAAATTCATTGAATCATAATTAATATCAGCGTCCACCACTAGATGGCGAGTAACCTTATCGGTGAATCTGCAAGTAGAAAAGTGAAAACAAATGTATAAGTCAAATCACGGTTTAAAAACTTTTCTACTGTTAAACATCCAGTTGTAATGAAAGTGTAGGAAAAAAACTCACTTCATCTGGATGTTAATTTTAACGTGAATATTTTTAATAATATTGTTACCGAGCATTTGTTTACTTAATCCCTGACTTTTACCTTGCGAGCAAATAACTAATATTATTTATAGATATTGCGATCGTCAATGCGACGTAAGTAGGAAGTTAATTACTCATGTTAGAAACACTCTCACGTTCAAAGTACCCCCGAAACACTCCGTACTTACGCAGCTATAAATTATGCAAGATCGAATCGAACGCCGTTGATTAAAAGCAGCCATGCGAAATGCCCCATGAGAATATTACAGAGCTGACCTTGCATGTGAAACATTAAACTATCTTTCGTAGATAGTTTGCCCAGCGAACGATTTTCCTAGAAATAAAATATTGTCTTTTCATTTTTTTTTCTCTTTCGTATATTCATATTAACTGCAAAAATGCGCAATTGTCGGAATAAACAAGCCGTATAACTACGTGTAATTTTCTTTTTCTTCTTGTTTCAGCGGCAGAAGCAGCGGCAGCAGCAACAGCAGTAAAGAGAAGTCGACAGCCAGATGAAAATCGTTGAAGGCAATTCTTAGTAACACCCGAGGCGGTGCCAGAGTAAACAAGCCATTTGAGCAAAGGCCACGACGACCTCGCTATACACGCATATGAACCAAGTTTCCAACATAATGTCGCGTTAGTGTATACGTGCGTGTGTATGTTTTTGTTAGCCCGAGCTGTGTTGGAAATGAACTTCACAGTGTAATTGTCAAAATAGCTTCCTTAATTGCGCTTGAAAAATAATACGTGAAAAATTCTTGAAAAAAAAAAAAGAATCAGTGCAAGTGTCTAAGGAAAAGTTATATTGCCAAGTGTAGTGGATGTTTAAGTTAAAGTGAGAGTTTGTTGTGATGTGCTTTTCGCTGACGAGACAAGAAAGATGAGCTCAAAGACGAGAGGAAGGCGGCGCACTCGTGGCCGAGATGTGCGGCCACGATGATCTACCTTATCGAGGATTCATTCAGCTGATGATCTCCTTAATTTAATTCAGCTTGAATTATATATACGCATCGCATCTGCCGACCGTTTGACCAGTCGGTCGGGGTTAAGAGAAGATACTGGCGGCAGACTTAGGGTGAGTAGTTGATGGAATTATTTGACCTTTTTAGATTCCTCAAGTTCACTGTTGTTATTTACAAAAATTAATAAAAACAGTAAAAGGCCATAATTGAATATTTTTCATAAATCGTTATGTACAATAAAAATTATATATACTTGTTTTTACTTTGCTACTTGTAGATTTACAAATAAAGGTACTCGCCATCTAGCGGTCAAGACTGGCTTTAACTATAATTAAATTTTCGTACATCTTTTTAGCAATCAAGAAAACAATTAGTAAAAAAAAATTAATTGGAATAAAAAGGTTTGAATTTGAACATTAAATTAAATTTTTCATTTATTCATCTTGCTTCAAAAATAATTTATATGATTGTATTTTCCTGTTTATTTTATGTAAAAAATAATCATTACTGGAGCATTCTTTTTCCGCGAAAATTTCATGAAAAAGTACCCTGAATAAAATGTAGCATCGGTTACTTTAATTTTTATCTCTGATTTTTTGCATTAAATCTGCATGTAATTTAAAGTTTTTCAAACAACAATATATACACTGTTATAAAAATTAAATTAAACGCGGGTTCTTTTACGTGAAATCTTATACATCAATTTTTAGCTAAGTACCGATGTATTTATTTTTTTTTCGTGAACTGCAAAAAAAAATTCTTGAAAAAGCAATCACAAATTATCTTAAATATAAAAATTTAAACCAAAAAGATTTAACTCTGTACTTAAAATAGAAATAATTTGATTAAGATATCTTAAATCCAGCCTCCACCGCTAGATGGAGAATCCCTTCATTGGTTTATCTGCAAAGTGGCAAAGTAACAATACTTGTATAAGTCAATAATGCAAAAGTAACGTGTGCAAATGAAATTGACAGGTTTTAAATAATCGTATGAACCAAAACAGGGGGTTTAAAAAATATATAATAGTTGCACTATGAATTCGAATGAAAAATAAACCCTTGACCTGTTGTTTTTGTTCTCTCTCTCTCTCTCGACCTCGACAGAACGACGCAGGCGAAACCAAGCCGAGGGGGTAAGCTCGTGCGGCAGAACGCGGTGGAGGAAGTCGACGGAGATGAGGATGTTTCGCCGACTGCTGGAGGCCTCAACGCGAGCGGCCAGCGGTCAACCGGGCAGCATCCTCCAGGTCACCCCGACTCCGTTGCTTCCGCACAATCCGGCGGCAATCCTAACGGGACCGGCGGTGGCAAGTAGCAGTAGTAGCCCGGGCCTCGCGGCCGTGGCCGCCGGCGGTGGACCGTCGGCGGCGTCGCACGACAGCACCCAGCCCCCTCAGCAGCGCCACATCAACTCCACGCTGCAGTTCAACGAGAGCAGCGACGAGCTCGAGTACAGTGAGTATACATACAATAATGGTCGTTATTTTGAATCTTTTTTCCCTCGATGACACTGTGTATATAGCTACTATGTAACTATAGTTCAACGCGATATAATTGCCCTTCCTGCTGTGACCGATAACGCGGCTACAGAATCCAATACAATTATAATTGCATTTCGAGAGTGGATCACTGCGCGTCTAAATTTTCTCCAACCCCTATTAATTTTAGCTCAGATAGTTGATTAATTGGTTTATCTTAGCCAACGTGCCTATCAAATTATTTTCTCTCTCTCTCTCCCATCGCATTATATATGTATGCAGTACGTGTGTTCGTTCGTGGCCCAGCTGACAAATGTGGTTATCGCTCGCAACTCCGAATTGGGTATAAATAAAACTTCCTCGTTGTGTCGCGCGTTCCATCAAAGTTTATTTGGCGCACGACAAAAAAAGGACGAAATAATATCATAAAAGCTCGGGCTATTTCATTTTCGTCTCTCTGGCAGTATAACAGGCTGCAGCGCGGGAGGGAAATAGTTTTTGGCTCGTTTCCTTTTTACGTCTTGTGCACGCTCCGTAGTAGTATATATACTACACGTTGCCTTATACAGGGCCGGGGCCGGGGCTCTCGGTTACGTAGTTGAAAACGGTTTTTCCCTTGCCGACAAATTGCCCATAGCTCTGAAAATGTATAATAATCATTCTTGGGGGGGTATAAAATAATATCGCGTCGCGCACAAAATAGACCATTTTAAGCTTGAAAAGCTCGCGCGAGCTTAAAAAGCGTAATTTTACATTTCTTACTTTGTGAACCTAAAATTGGCTTGAAATTTTCTTGGCCGGTGGCAGAGAAATACCATTAGATATAACAAGCCTGCGAGGATCAGGTCTCTCTGTGGCAGGTATATATACCTCTAGATGGAAAATGTCAAGGGTTTGCGATTCTTCCAATATTTACGGTCAGTAGACAGGAACGGCCTCGTCAAGCGCGCAGCACTGGCCTTTTGACGATGCTAGGGAGCGAGGCGGGGCACGGCGCGCTGCTATATATCCATCCCTCGTATCCGGTGAACAAATTTTCCGCGCGTCTAGCGCGTATGAACTTAAGTTTCATCTATGCTCGAAAATGTCCGCACGCGACTTTTGTTATAACGATTTCGCACGCCGAGTTTCATTTATTTTCGACCGAAAAAGAGTCGGAGCGAGAAAAAAAGAAAACGAGAGAGAGAGAGAGAGCCGAGAATTAAAATGCAAAGTCGCAAGCACACGTAGAATTTATAGGAAATAAAGTCGAGAGAGGGTCTTCCGGCTGTATAGTCATTCAATTTCTAGTCGCGTTTCTGTGTCTCCCCCTGCTAGTAGCGCATGGGTTCATCAGAGACCCCTTTGAACCTATGCTGCTACTGCTGCGATGTTTGAACTTTGCTGCACAGGAGGAATCGTGTCGGGGATTCATCAGGCTTTAGCCCGAAATCTCAATCTATATGTATACCAGGATATATACAAAAGAACGCGCGCGCATTCGGGCTAACGATTCGACGTGTTTGGCCATGGGTATGATTTAACGAATTATTGACAGATATCGATTTTAGGAGTGCGATAGTGTACTGCATTAAAAAAATGTTACTCTGTTTTTATGGATACTTATACTTAGGATTTACAATAAAAATATTTTTCAATGAGAGGCGACGGAAATGTAAACTTTTTTATAGTCGACTGTATTTGAAAATTTTTTTACTGCGCACGTGAGCTCAACCACACTTTTGAATTTGTTTGAATTTAAATACGAAATTTGAAACACATATAAAAGTGAACAGATGTACGCAATTTAAAAAAAAATGTAAAGCTTACATCTTATTGACAAAATTTTTCCGCAGTAACCGTACATTTATGGATAAAATTTTTCCACAAAATCGCTCAATGTTAACAATGAAATCGTCGTTTGAACATTTATTATTTTCTCTTGAACGACTGGGTAAATTATTCGGGCTTATTCGTATGAAAATTCGTGATTCGTTGATTAAAAAAAAAATCCTTCTATTTTTGACTCCCTTATGTAACAAACGAGCGAAAGTCGGAAAGAGAAACGAAGCGTAACGCACCAAAAAAAAAGGGAGAGAAAAATCGACTCATAGTACATACGTGCTAGTTAGTTTAGTTTGGTAGATTTTTGTTCTATGGGTTTCTTACAATCATGCAGGCTTTGGATCAATAAATTAAAAGTTTGCAAGACTTTTGTTAATTCGAATGACACATTTTAATGTGAAAATTTTCGTCCTATCCTATTAAGTAATTTTAAAGTACCTAGAGCTTATAATTTTTAAGCCTATAATGGAAATAGGAGCACATAATATTTGTGTACAAAAAGTGACAAAAAGTACGAACGCGATTGCAGAAAATATGCACATCATATTTCACTTACATATTATCGTACAAACTCTCGTTGACAGGGAACTGGAGCCTTGGGGTAGTCGTCAGCGCGGCGCGCGCGTACCTTTACGAACGCCTAGCATACACTCGCAGTAACATAAAGACGATGAACGCCGCTGCTTTTCGAGATTTTCACGCCCGACTGACGTTTCATTTCTGATGTCTTTCACCTACCTCTCGGCTGCCTCCTGCTCTCCCTTATAAACGCGGAGAAACGTAAAATACCATATAAAATACGAATGAACGCTAGTCTGCATTATGAATTCTTTTCGTTTGAAAATTTTTCATGCGCCAGCGGAGGAGCAGTAAAAATACAGATAAAAAAAATGTCTATTGAGACTAATTGTAAGCTCGAGGGACACATATATTCACGCTTCATTAAGCGATTTTATGCGCGCGCCCTTCGTCATAACTTGATTTTTTTATATCTACGCGCGCGCGCGCGCGCACTTAATGAACCGTTATGGAGTTATTTTTTAATAGATTTTCGAGACGACCTGACCCAATAAAAAAAATTTCACGTACAAAATAGCGATGCATTTTATTGATTCGCAAAAATGTTTGAAAAATAATACGATTTTCATTTTTGTTCCAGGTATACTCGCTGCATTTTCGGATATGGAAACAGTTTTTTTGGCTTGCATATCGACGCTGCTGCCCCTGGTCGTTGCTCTGGGGCTAGCGTTCGGAATCAGGTGAGTCATACGGTATTTTTCAAAAAAAAAAAAATTTTTTTTTTCATATTATCGTTCGCGCGCACGGTACGGTGGCGCTGAATTATAAATTAGATCGTTGCGTTCCGCGAGTATAGTGCTGCGCGCCGCGCGCGTTGAGTGACTTTGATAGCTTTTCACGTGGGCTCTCTCTCGCTCTCTCTCAGCTCGCGTATATTTGTATATTTCAAATGGCGCGATGGTATATAATAGAGCACATATTTTCGCGTGACGCGCTCGACTGCGCGACTGAAAGCGTTTCGGGGTGCAGTGTGCGGGTACACCCCCGCCGCGCGCGCGTATACGTCACGCATTTATATATATGGCTGTTTCGCGAGCTGAGAGAGAGCTAACGTTAATCATCGCTTTTTAACGACTGGCGAGCGTGAGCGCGCGCTCGAAACACAGTGACGTTGAACAAATTACCCCTTTCTGCCTGTCTTTCTCTAGCAGCGCGCGCTACACATTATTCTATCGAGCAAAATTCGCGCAAACGTTATAAACCTCTCTTTCTCTCTTCTACGTGCGCGCGCGCGAGTCATCGAGCGCAAAATTCATTAAGCGTACACAGCGCACAAAAAAACCGTGTCAAAATGTATATGGCGAGAAGAAAAATAAAGAAAATACAGTGGATTTTCCTCGGGGCAAATATAAAGATGAATTTTGGAAAAAATAAATTCCAGACACGTATGGCGAAAATATAGAGAGCGCAGGACGAGCACTTCGAGCGGTTTGCCGTGGTACAGGGGCGTGAACTCACGCGACGACACGGCCGAATCGTTGCGCAGCGGCAGCGGCGCCGTCTGCAGCCAACAGCAGCAGCAGCAGCAACAGCAGCAGTCAACCCAGATTCTTTCGGCGCAAAACGTAAGTCAGCCCAGAACATATACAGCTAAAGCACGCGCGCGCGTGCACACACGTATTATTTGCATTTTTTACAATCACAAAGCTATCAATTTTATGCGCCGGGCTCTCGTAACACTTCTGCTTTATTATATCGTGTGTATGTGTGTATGGGTTTATATATATCTAAAGCGAGTCTAGCACGCGTGAGTACGTTCCTTCTTTTTTTTCTCTCTTTCTCTTTCTCTCTCTCTTTCTCCTCATCTCAAGCTCTATTTCTCGCTTACTCACTCGAGCTTGCAAGGGAGAGAGCGTTAAGAGCGTGTAAAAGCTCGGCCGTTTATAAAAATGTACAATATTCTGCCGCTGCACACTAGTCGCTTATATAGACCGTAAGTCTCTCGTCGTGTATAAGTGTGTGTGTGTGTGTGTGTGTGTAGGTATGTAGGTGAAAAAAATGTTACCTATATTTTTTTCCTGCCTTCCCCCCGTCCCACACCCCACATCCCCCGTTTGCGTCCTTCCGCGCGCGAGACCCCCTTGAGTCCTCCGATGCGACTTTGCAGCTGTATACGACGTGTAAGCGAGCGAGGCTTTAGCTCGTTCGTGCCGTTTTTATCTTGGCTATACGTATACACACACATTCGAGATTACGCTCTATTTATTTCAGAGCTTCGTCAGAAGTGCATCTGCAGGCAACCATGATGCAATTTTAACGATATATATGAGGCCCAATCTTTGTGATACGAGTTCTGCCAAGCTTGGAAAAAGCTCGATTTTTTTCAAATTATATCGTTTACATGAACATTCGAATTGAAAGTATTCTTGCTTTGTCAAAAGTTGAAAAATTCAATTATTTTAGCTATGAAGTTTCTCGGTCTAATTTACCTTTGACCTTTCATCCCTTTTAACGTACTCGAAAAAATGCGAAAGTTGCTGAGCCGTGTGCGTTCATTCTCCAATTTTTATTCCAAAATTATCTAAAGCGGACTCGCACTTTTTCTAGATTCACCTGTTTATGAAAATATTTTCCAACGAGTGCTGTGTGCGAGTGTTTTTGAACGGTCTCTGTACTCGGACAAACAATCTAAAAATCGTCCGTAGACGCGTGCACAAAATGTATACATGCAGCAGCATCACGTAGAGTTAGGTGCCGAGAGAATTTTTTTTTTACTTCCACTATAATTTCAACATGACAACATATACACGGTAGCTTAGACCGCACGCAATTTTGACCAGAATAAAGCAGAGAATTATATTTTTTCTCCCAAATTATTTTTTTTACTGCTTTCTTTTTTTTTTCCAAAAAAAAATTGTTTCGGAACCAACTGTGCATTATGCAAATTTTTTGTTTTCGTTAGCGCATGCGAAAAATTCACTACAAAGTAAAATTACTGCTTTTCGAGGGAGGGATTATCTTAACAAAAAAAATATCAATGCTTAATCCATTACCAAATAATTTAATGACATCTGAATAATATGTGAAAATGTGGGTCCACGTGATAAAATGCATTATCGCATGTTATAATAACGCGAAAGGATTAAAGTTTTCATGAAAAAGGGCAGGGATCGCACTGCAATTGCGTGCGGCTATTCGAATGATTCGCGCGAAAGCTAATTTCCCGTTTTAAACTTTTGTAAAAGGGATATTGGACACAAACGACTTAATTATGTGTGTACATGACTTATTTTGGCTTTTTAACCCAGACACCACATTTACAAAGTCCTTTTACAAAATTGCTTACACAAATGCAGATTTTTATATTACTTTAACCCTGGTAAAAATGCCCAATATTTTGAGGATAGTTTTTGGCCACAGAAAAAGTTTCTTCAGCTCAAAAGATCCTATTGGAATCGATAAATATGTTTCATGGCCTTCAAACACACTTTCTGCAGAAATTTTTAATTGTCTATACTTGAAATGGGCATTTTAATATTAATTGAATTTTTTTTCATTTTTCATACAATATTGTTAATGTTTATACTTATAAACGACAGTGCATTTGTTGACAGCAACGGTATTCATTTCCAAAACCTGATTCGCGGTTCAATAACATAGAAAAAGTAGTGGATGCCTACAATTATCGAAAAAAACTGACTTATACAATTATTTGTACTTTGCCACTCGCAGATTTACAGAAATAAAGGCTTTCGCCATCTAGTGGTGAATGATTTAAGTGACATTTTCGTGAGTGAGGTAGTTAAAAATTGGTGTAAATTTTTAGAAACAATTCAAATGTTAGTTTCAGGTCATTTATCAATAGACAATAATTTTTACAGAACAATCGTAAAGATAAGCCAATTAATTTAATAATGGTCATTGTTTGGCTATGAAGTCATTATTAATGTTAAGAATTTCTGCCAGGGCATTGGAGAACAACTAAACACATTTTCACCAAATGATTTTTTTTCCTTTCAAATATATATTGTGTTTTCAATGAAAGTAAATTATAACAGCATTTCAAAGTCTGCTAATAGAATGAAGTTAAAATGAGCAATCTTGTATCTTCGTTAATAAAATAAAAAATATTCCTTGTTCAAAGAGTATATTTTTTATCAAGAGGCTAGATCGCAGTCCTCGATATTTATCGAGATTCCTTTTTCCACTTGAGCATAGAATAGCACAGGATCTCTTCAGAATAATTCAAGCTAGCAGAAACTCACCTGGCTCCGTAACAGATCATTCGGCAAAACGATCGGGGGGTGGATCAAATTGTTAAAAAGAATAAAGACAATACTCCTGGCATATAATATTTCTATTATGAGTGCACATACGAGTTGTGGCGGATGATTTATCAGTGCACATGCGGGATAGAAAGAGAGAGAGAGAGAGAAGAGGCTAGGCCGGCGGGGCCGCGTGCACCACCGCCCCCTCGAGTGCACAGCAGCGTAAAATACAACTTCTCCGCGTACCGCTGTGTTTCACTCGGTTGCCAGTCATCCAGGCGTACAGGAGCGCGCGCAGCACATAACGCCTCGAGCATTATATTTCTATATATTTCTCTCGGGTGGAAAAGGCAAAATAAAAAAAAAATGAATGAAAAAAAAAAAAAAGAAAAAAGAAATACACATAGATTTTCACACGCGAGTTACTTCATCATCTCCGAGTTTTTACTTTATTCTCGCGAGAGCAGCTCTTTTGCGTGCTTTTTGAACTGTATGTGCGGGTGGCTATACGGTAGCAGCCCAGCAGTGTCGTCGAGTGTTTCATTTTCAAAGGCGGGGAAGAAAAACTCGCGTGCATTGTAGTTTCGCGCGCGCGCGCCACTGCTCGATATAACTATATAACTATATATACACGTTCGAGACTGTATATATATATAGTTTTGCGCTACTAGAAAATAGTATATATAAGAGTAAAGTACTGGGAGAGCTGCCGCCACCGCCGTAGCTGCCGACGTAGTTTCTTTAAAAAGTCTCCAAGTGAGAGAGTAAAGGCGGCGATTCTCAGGTGAAATTCAATATGATCAAGTCAGTATAAAGTTCATCGTGCAACTTTTGAGAGTTCGCCCAACTTCTTACGTCGCGCGCGCGCGCACCGAGCGCACTCAGCCACGCTCACTCACTCGCACACGAGCGTATAGAACACGTCCAAAGGCTCGCTGCTGCCGCTGCTCCTTTCTCCGTTATAAATTTGTTGTTTCGGCGTTATCCAAATTCGATTGTATAGCGAATTAACTCGCAGGCTCTTCTCGGCGGCGTCGCGTGGACGCACTCGTGCGCGCGTATATATATACCAAGTTCTCTCTCGAGCGTAAGATCATTGCAAAATGGTTAAATGCGCGAGCGAGCGGGGGGCCCAGGGTTTATTTAATTTCTGCTTGAATAAATGATTATAATTCCAGTCGACCGAGTTCGAAGATTAAAAGTTTCCTCTCTCACTCTCTGCGTGCTTTCTCTCTGTGGTGTAGATTAAAAATTCCCCGCCCTTTTTTTTCCGCCACCGCGCTCGCACAACTAAAAGTACTAATTGTCTCTCTGGACTTGACTATATGAATTTCAAAGCTCCATAGTTTTTTCCTTCTTTCTCCTCTTCTCATTTTTTTCCCGTTCTTGTTCGAGTCATGATTATGATAATAACACGAAGACTCGGCGCGCGGGGGGTGGATGGATAAAATTTGCCTAAACTCGAATAATCGATTTTCCCACACACGTATATATAACACGGCAACGCGTACATCATTACGTAGGCTCGTAATAACGAACGATAGCTCGAGCAGCGCACGTACATGTATAAAGTATATATACATACACGAGTAAAATCCATGCCCGATAAACGCGCAGCGCTCGCAAGTTTGATAAAAAAGTTTTTAGCGAATATTTCTTCTCCGACGTCCGATACTTTGCTTATAGCTCTTTCGTGCTTCGCCTGCGCAGCGGCATAGCATAGTAGCGTTATAGTAGCTCGGGTACATTAAACCAGAACATGCCAGGCCAGCCGAGCTGCAGCAGCAGCGAACGAGCGAGCGCGCCAACGAACCAAGAGGAGGCCAATCTCGGTAAAAGTCGATAAACTTTTGCGAGCTGTGTACACATATTTTTATATAGATATATGGTATGCATCGCCTCCCTCCACCTCCTCCTCCTTCGACTTTTTTGGCCTTTGTGAAGTCGCAGCCGTAGAATCAAGCAGACATACTCGCACACACATTTATACTTTTTAATAAAAAAAAAACAACCCAAGCCAAAAAAATACTCGAATACTCATACGATTGGATGTGCTGCGCACAAAGAAGTTTATTGATATTTATCGGGAATTAATGCCGGCACGGGCTTTCGTGTAAATAAGCTCTCTCTCTTCGACGCGCGCAATCCTAGTTGCAGAGCATTGTGAGCTCGACGCGCGGAATCGTACGCGGATTGAATGGACGCTGCGATGTCAACGGGGCTTACACGCGAGCAGTGAAAGATAGAAATATACTGGGTTTGCACCCGGCGGCTGCTGCTGCTGCTGCTGTTGCTGGGCTGCGAAAGCTGCATCATTGATATGCAAGAGAGCGAATTGCTTTTAATTGCTGATCGAG